GAAACTGGAATACTCGCATAACTTTATGACAGAAACTATTCGACCCGCTCGGGTCCTTGAAGCTGTACGGTACTTAGTTAACACTGAACTGTACAGAAAACAAAATATCATTTTTGATAATGACTGGCTTAACCAAGTGGGCGATAGGGAAGAATTACCTTTTACCGCAGATGAATCTGACCGAGAAGAAGTTGAACAGCTATTGCGACAACAGCTTTATTCTCAACAAGGAGAAGAGCTAAACCCAGGTGGTCATGAAACTTTATTAGAAAATAACAATACTGAGCTCGAACGTATTGCTTTGGCCCCTGGGGAAGGCCGCCGCCCAACAAACCTTACCCTAAATGAAGATGCGGAAGAACTTTCATTCCCAACTATATCTTGCGGTGAAATATTTAAGGCCAATGTGACCTATGCAAAAAAGCTTGATCCCAGATTCGTTTCTATGACCGTCGTTGTGTAGTGGTACTTAAAGTCCTTTATATGTACAAGTTTTATGAGATGCAGCGAATTTAAAACACAATTTCCATTTCCCTACGAAAAAAGTCAGGTGCGGTTACTGCTGCAAATATAAGGGATGAATCATTTGTTGACAGACTTGTTCAGCATGACGACGGGTATCATATTCTGAAAGGTCTACGTTCCGCCCCAGCTCATTGGGAGGCTGAAAAGAAAAAAGTTATAGCCATGATAAGACAATTTGGGTTGCCTACATTTTTCATAACTCTTTCCGCTGCTGAATATAGATGGAATGAGCTGTTAGTTATTATTTCTCTTTTGGTGGATGGCAAAAATATAAATGAGGACAAAGCGGCAGCTCTTTCGAGTACCGAAAAAGCTCGTTTAATTTGGTGAATATACCCTAGTCCACTTTAATTGGAGGATCGAATTTCAGCACAGGGGATCGTTACACTCTCAAGGCATGTACTGGCTTTCTGAAGCTCCAAGGCTGGACGGAGCAGAGAATTGCGATCAAGTTATACGTTTTGTTGATCGGTTTATTACTACTAGCGGAGAAGATCCTGAATTGCAAGAATTCATTCAATACCAGCGCCATAAGCACAGCTCTTCATGTTTAAGAGAGCTGCGTGGCCAGACATTCTGCCGCTTCAATATGCCATACCCTCCAATGCCTGAAACATTGGTTTTATATCCATTAGAAGAAAAAGAAACCAATGTTGAACATTCTAAAGAATTGTTTAAAAAAATTAAAGAGCTTTTAAAGTCTAGTTCCGATGAAGAAGCAGGTACTTTTAATGATTTGAACCTTTTCCTGACCCACCTTGAAACTACATTTGAAGAATATAAGTTTGCCATTCGCTCCAGCCTAAGAAAACCTCAGATATTTCTTCGTCGCAAGTTTTCCGACAGGTTGTTAAATGCTTACAACAAAAATATTTTGGGCTTGCATAGGACAAACATGGATATTCAATTTATCCTAGATGCGTACGCGTGTTGTAGTTATATAGTTAACTACATTAACAAATCCAACCGTGGAGTGTCGCAACTCCTTCGCGAAGCAATGACTGAAATAAGTCACGGAAATATTTCAGTAAAAAGAACAGGCAGCATCTCGGGAGCAAGTTCATTAACGCTACAGCCTACAACATTTTAGGATTACACATGTCACAGGCTAGCGAAGGAAATATTTTTGATAAAAGAGTGCAGATAGTGCGATCTAATAGGGAAATAGAACAGCTTCCTGAAAACTCCACTGATATCTTTGAGAAAAACTTACTTGATCGGTATGTACAAAGGCATGAACAATTAGAGTCAATATATCTTGCAGAATTTGCGGCTTGGTACAAATTCGGCAAGTCAAACTCTCCAACAGAAAGGTCCAACGAAGATTATGATGAACCAGATGATGAAAATGCCATTGCTGAACAATGTTTCGCACTTCTAGATGTAACTGGTAGTGTGAAAAGGCGTAAGCATGCCTTAATTCTTAGATGGGTTCGCTTTAGCTTAAGCTCTTCCCCATCTGATTATTTTAGAGAGCATGTAATGCTTTTCTTTCCGTGGAGGAGTGAGGAATCGGAACTTATTTCAAATGACAATGAAAGTACATTCAGAAATAATTTTGAAATAATCAAGGCCAACAAAGAGCAATACGATGTGTTTGATGATATGGAATTGGAGAGGGTTCTTCAAGAATTGCAAAATTTTGATAGAGAACCAAACAGTCCTCTTGATGAGGGGCTTGCCTCCCAATACCTAGATGAAGAGTTTAGAGCCTTGGCAGTACCAAACGTTGTGCAAAACGTAAAAAACTCCAAGATGACATTGAAAATAACTCAGACTTCAAACTTATTAGACTTCCTCCTTTGGTATCTGAAGACACACTTTGCTCCCTTACTAGGTCGCTTAACTTTAAGCAACGCCAGTATTACGCCCATGTAATGCATAATGTTGCAGCAAAGAACATTTTTTATGAATATGTTGGTGGAGGTGCTGGAGTCGGAAAAAGTAGGCTGATTTCAACAATATATCGTGGCGGGCAAATAAGCTTCATGGGGCAACTGATTCTGCAAAGGTTTTACCTTGTGCTCCTACTGGAAAAGCTGCTTTTCGGATTGGAGGACTTACGCTTCATTCTGTTTTCTCCCTTCCTGTTAATCAATCTTCGGGTCCGTTAAGACCCTTAAGTAATGATTCTTTAAACACTATGCATTGTAAGTTAATTGACATCCAATTAATTATTATAGATCAAATTTCCATGGTCGGATCGAAAATGCTTGGGTATTTAGATCAAAGACTTCGACAAATTTTTAGAACTCAAGATCTAATTTTTGGTGGAAAATCAATAATAGTGTTTGGAGATCTGAAGCAGCTTAGCCCAGTTGGGGATCGGTGGATATTCCTAGAAAATAGTAATAACCCCTATAACATTCTTGCCGGAGCTAACCTTTGGAATAATTTTAAGTTTTTTGAGTTAACTGAAATAATGAGACAACAAAATAATATGTCTGAGGCCAATATGACAGACGCAGATGTAGAGCTTCTTAGGCAAAGAGTTGTTTCACCCACCGAGGTTGCTGATGACGCAATTCATTTGTTTTGCTCTAATGATGAGGTTGCCCATTATAACACCTTTAAGCTTGCCCAAATTCAGACTGAAGAGTTTTTTTCAACTGCCATAGATACTGTTAAATCAGCAAATATGTCAGAAAGCAATAGAGTCAGAACGTTAAGAATGGTCCAAAATATGAAATCCTCAGAAACCCAGGGCTTAGCATATATTCTTCAGTTAAAAACAACGGCAAAGTATATGATAACCGTCCATATAGACACAAATGACGTAATAGTAAATGGTGCAACTGGCCAATTAATGCAAATTGACCATTGCATGGTTAACGGCTCCCCTATAGTTACAGGACTGTGGATTTAGTTTTCAGATCCTACGGTTGGGGCCATAGCCAGGTCAAAAGTTCGAAGGAATGATAATCCCGGTTGGACTCCTATTCAGAAAACAGACCGAGTTTTTCAGTGCAGAAATTCAGGACATTCTTCGATACATCGTAAGCAATTCCCAGTTGTTCCTGGTGAGGCTATTACCATCCACAAAAGCCAAGGAGCAACATACAGCAAAAGTCGCAGTGCATCTTAAAAGAGACATTAAGCGAGCTTCGCTTTACGTAGGGTGCATCAGGGCAACATGCGCATCGGGTCTTTTCCTTTTAGGAGACTTTGTTCCTCCAACTAGATTTGGAGCAACAAATGTCCAAGAAGAACTTCAAAGTTTAAGAGGGGAAAAGGCTTTGACTACGCAATACGAATTCTTGGTCAATAGAAATGATGCCATCTCATTGTATTACCACAATGTTGAGTCTCTTCGTGCTCATCACGAAGATATTGCCAACGACAAAATTATTTGTTCCGCAAACTTTTTATGTTTTGTTGAAACCTGGACTCTTCCACATGAGGAGTATAATATAAGGGATTTAGACATTATAAGGAGAATAGCTAGCAATCGTTTGAATGGTATTGGGAAGAACGGATTACTCGTCTATGCTAAGCAGAGTATTTCGCAAAATGTTGTATTTTTGTTCGAAACAACTGAATCAATAAGCCCGATGAGCACCTATCAATCAATTGCATTTAAATTTCTTGACACGTCATTTTTAATTGTATATAGAAGTCCTAGATTTCCTATTACAAGATTTCGAAATGAAATTAAAGCTGACGTCGAAAAAGTGCGCAGAATAGATAATAATAAAATGGTAATATTAGGAGATTTCAATATTTGCAGATCCTCAAGAACTGATTCTCTGGAGGCAATTTTAAATGCGTATAACCTTTTTGGAACAAACAGCTCTCCAACAACAAAACACCTTACGCAGATTGATTGGATATTCACTGATGCTTGAATTCCGGAAACCCTCGCCCTCATATATGAAACACCATATAGTCATCATGATGGAATTTTCCTCAGCTATAGCTTGTAAAGAAATATAACTATTATATAATAAGCGCTAAACTTTAAATAAATAATAATAAAATAATAGATATAATATAAATTGTAAAAAGATAATTGTATATATATTCTAATTGTATTTATCTTTATTATTTAAGCAAATATAGTTTCCCCCTCGTGGATTGAGACCTTGTCGTGGTGTAGGGGCTGAGTACGTGAATTTCGAAATAAATATCACTGAAACTAGCAACAAGCCGACAAAATTAAATAGGTTCATTTACTATATATTAACATGATAAAAAGATAAGGCCAATTTACGCGATTTGATGGCTGTCATGATCTTTCTGAAATACACTGAATAATAATTATAACTGCAAGGGTATGTATATAAACTTCGGTATGCCGAAGTTTGCTTCCTTTCTTGTTTTGTTCGGTATTGGCATATGGAGTAAATCAAAAATTTATATAAGAAAACGTCCAAAAAATACTAAATAGGTGTGTGATATAACACCCAGTATAATATATATACATCTAGAATTTACCCTGAAAAATTAATAATAATATTAGAAAAGCTAAATCTTACCTCTCTTGCAAAAACTCCGCGCAGACGACTTTGTATGACAATTGCACTGCGCCTCATCCTCATAAAATGAATTCTCAATTTCCAGCCTTTATACGCGTGTTGTATTTTTAAAACAGCCAGTTTAATGCGTAAAAATGACTTAAAGCAATAAAACCGTTTCCAATATTTTTGAATAGTAACAGCATTTTTATATATTTTTTCTTTTCTTTTATCTTCTAATAGCTCATATATCACACTTCGCAAAAATATTTTTGTTTTTCCTATTTGCCATTCTGTATTTGTCAAGTAAGTTGTTTCCATTATATCGGTTATATATTTATGTGAATATTCAAAGGACTTATTTTGCATCAGACATTTATATTTATTTATAAAGTCTTCATGACTTAAATGTATTGGAAATCCCTCTCTTCTTATTCGTATTATATCTACAACTCCGAGATATTTTAATTGATCAAGGACTAGTGAGTTGTTATAGTTATTAGGTCGTTTCAATAAATTTGGTTTTATACAACGAACGTACCTGAAAAGATAAATAAATAAGTAAAAAACACATAAAAATATAAATATAAAATAATGTTAGTTTTAGCCCCAGCCCTTAAAAATAGGTAATTGACATGAAAATATATTATTGCAATAAATGTATTCTTTTAATTTTTTGTTTATTTTACAATTATTTGTATTATTAAGTTTTATGAAAGTTATTTATAGACAATAAACCTATACTTAGTTACATTTCATAGTTTTGGGCTGTTGGAAACAACTTTGAGTTACATTTACAGGTCCTAATTCAGTTTTTCTTGGTTAATGTGAATAATAATTCTGAGTGATATATTCTTAAGTTTATTATTACAAAAATAATCATATTCTTTTCGAAATAGTGTTTGTCGGAAATTTGTGTGATTTCACCAGTTTTGTTAAATGGGTTAGAAGTTTTAAACTTATCTCAAGGAGCTTGTCTGTAGTCTTTCAATTTTTGGCGATTCTCATTTCGATTTTATTGGCTTGAGTGTTGTACTCTGGCGTTTCAGCAAAAATGAAGACGTCAGCGGGTGTACTGCCTGTTGTGTTATGTTTTGTCTTGTGATTGTATGTGGAGTTTCAAATGTTTTCGGTTTATTTTCTGTGTTGTCGTCAATTTTTGTTATGTTTTTGTTTATTGTTTTACAAAATCTCTCAACGTTAAAAATTCCATTTTTGCTTGTAGTTTCTGTTATTAAGACTTTTACTGATAATGATTTTAGCCAAAGGTGCAAAACTCCGCACAATCCGCGGAATTTTTATACCCTTGCAGAGGGTATTATAATTTTAGTCAAAAGTTTGCAACGCAGTGAAGGAGACATTTCCGACCCTATAAAGTATATATATTCTTGATCAGCATCACCACGAGAGTCGATCTAGCCATGTCCGTCTGTCCGTCCGTCTGTCTGTCTGTCCGTCTGTCCGTCCGTCCGTCCGTTTCTACGCAAACTAGTCCCTCAGTTTTAAAGCTATCTGCTTGAAACTTTCCCAAAAGTTGTCTTTCTATTGCAGGTAGTATATAAGTCGGAACGATCCGGATCGGGCGACTATATCATATAGCTGCCATATAACTGAACGATTGGAAATGCCATAACTTTGGTGTTTTTAAAGTTAGGAAGTTGGGATTTTTTATAAGTATCAAGAATGCATCATATGAATAATTTTGGAGAATATAATTTACAGAGTATTCTGCAAGGGTATATCAACTTCGGCTCCGCCCGAAGTTAGCTTTCCTTTCTTGTTTTATTTCTTTAAGTTTACCCATAATGTATTATATATTAGTGAATATATATCATTGAATATGTGTAGATGTTCGTATTTAGAATAAACGTAAATAAATGGTTTGTTATCGATCATATAAAAATCAATAATGAACTTATCTCTTGGATTAAATATTTCCTGGGTAACTTCAAATGATTGTTTAGTGTTTCTGTGGTCGGTCTTCGCAATGTTACAAGCCTCACAAGCCTTTTTGTAAAAAATTTTTTTTTTGTAAATACGGTATTTTTTTATTTATCGAATTTTCTCTCTTGGAGACTAACGACAAGTATTCAAATCTTAGCCTAATAAATAAATTTAAGTACTTAAAATTAAGTTTTTTAGGAGAACGGCCTTAGATATTGTTGCTGGGTGGGAGATCTTTTCGACTGAGTCGTATATTGCTAGTGTTCCAGGTTAAAGACCGCGCAAGCCTATTTGGAGAAGCCTGTAGCTTGATTGTGTACTTTGCTTTTACATTGTCGATTTAGTCTTTAACAGATCCCACATTTAAGTCTCTGTGAATGTTTTTATTCCGTGTGTACCACGGTGCACCAGTTATATTTCTCAGTATCTTTGATTGAGCTCGCTGTATTACTTCTAAGTTGCTAACGCATGCGTTTCCCCATAGCTCGGAGCCATATTTCCAAATTGGCTTGAGAACTGCATTGTACAGAAGTACCTTGTACTCCAATTTTAGCGGAGAACTGGCATTTATTAACCAATGTAGGCTTCTTGCCTATAATTTAAGTTGTGTTCTTTTAGCATCGATGTGCTTTCGCCAAGTAAGCCGTCTATCAAGGTGGACTCCAAGATATGTTACTTCAGTTGTTTGTGGAATATGAATGTTGTTCATAGATAGTGGATAGCAAGTTTGTCTGTTTAGGGTAAAGGTGACGTGTTTACTCTTTTGCTTGTTAACCTTTATGCGCCAATCTGCTAGCCATTTCTCTAGAAGCCTGATATGAGCTGATAACTGTTACGTTGCTCTTATGGGGCACTTAGATCGACTTAGAATGGCAGTACCATCAGCAAGTGTTGAGGTTGTTGTAAGACTGGTTGTCGGAAGGTCTGCTGTGCAAATTATATACAGCGTTGGTCCAAGCACGCTTCCTTGAGGTACTCCAGCTTCAATTGGATGTTATTCGGAGAGGAAATCTTTACATCGCACTGCGAAACTTCTATGCTCAAGATATGACTCTAGTATTTTATGGGTGTTCTGTGGAAGCAAGGTTTTAATTTTATAAATTAAGCCGTCCAGCCAAAAGCGATCGAAGGCCTGGGCGACATCCACAAAAAAGACTGCGGAACAATACTCTCGATTTTCAAATGTATTTCGTGTCTCGAATGTTATTCGGTTTACTTGTTCAATGGTTCCGTGTTGGCATTATGGGACTGTAGGAGTTGCTTTATACGATTCAGGAGCAGCTTTTTAAATATTTTTGATAGGCACGGCAGGAGACTGATTGGTCTATCTGATGAAGGCTGGGACTTGTCCTTTCCGGCTTTGTGGATCATAGTGATGACAGAATTTTTTTCAATGTTGTGGATAATAGCCCAATTTCATCATGGTGTTGAATATTGTGGTGAGAAGATTTACTGCACAGTTCGGCAATTCTGTAATCATTTTAGGGGAGATTAAATCGTGTCCTGGGCCTTTTTTCTTGAGCCCTTATCATTTTTATCACTTCTCTTGATTGGAATATGATAGGCAGGGAAGCCTCTGGAAAGCTGTTTGTTGGGAGCTCAAATCTATTTGTTGGTGGGAGTGGTTTAAAAACGTTTTGTAGATGAGCGGCAAATACATTTGCCCTCTCTTCATTGCTTCGAGCCCATTCTCCTATTTGTGTGTGTAATGGCGACTCACTTTCGATCAGGTATATGATTTAGCTTTCCACAGTGGATATCGTTTGCTCGATTAGACAGTTTTTTATCAGGATTACAAGCCGGTATAAAGAGGGATGGAGTGTTGTGCAGCTAGTGACATAACATACACTAGTTCTTCAACTGAGCTGTCAATCTCTTCTTTTTGGTACATGTTTGGGAAGCCATCAATATGGGTGCTTACGTACTTTCTGTATTTAAGCCAATCTGTTTTACGAGAGGTTAGAACATATATGCGTTCTGAAAGCTGTGGATGTTCGTTGAGATTAAGTAAAATTGACGAGTGATCCGATGACAGATCTGTTAAGTGTTCCAAGCGGACATGATCTCTAGCCACTCTTCTTGTGACGGCCAAATCAATCATCTCAGGCTTCTTATTAGGATATATTGGCCAATATGTAGGCTTACCAGGAGAGATAAGACCAAGCTTGTTTCTTGGTGTTATTATAGCGTTGTACAGCTGTCTTCCCTTGGGGTTGGTTAGTCGAGAGCCCCAGTGGGTGTGTTTTCATTGTAATCACCAGCCGCTAAAAAACGGTCACCTAATAGGTCAAAGAACTGTACAAATTCATCTTCGGAAATGGAAAAGCGTGAAGGGGAGGGACAGCGGATAAATTTAAGAAACCGCTTCTGGTATCGATGTGTATTGATGTAGCTTGTATACAGGCTGTTGCAAATGATGGCAACTCATAGTGCCTGATGCGTTTCTTGATCAGTATGCCAGTACCGCCATGAGCTTTGCCATAAGGATGGTTTTTTTTATAAAATGTATAGGCATTAAGGTGAAAATAGTTTTTGTTTGTTAGGTGAGTCTCTGATATAAGCATGGCGTCAATGTCATACTGATCTAGGTAAAACCACTAACCATACAACATATAGACTGGTCATTTCATACAACGAATTTGGTCACAAAATTTTTCACTCGGGGGGCCCCAGTGCTGGAATCGGCAGGCCCCGACACTTCGTGTGCCTTCGGGTTTTTTCGCTCTCGTTCTAATTCTTATTTTGACGCTCGCGCTCGAGTTCGGTCGTTCAGTCGCAGAGACGCGCATTTTGAAGAAGGTTGGCCTGCGCTTGAATTGGGCTTTGTATGTATGCGTGTTCATGCATTCGCATACAGGGGTGCATGTGTGCGATCATTTCATTTCGATGCAGCAAGAATATTTTGCTACTTTTCAGACTTGGTACCCTAACAATATGGGTGTATTCACTATTGGGTTAATGATAAAAATAAGAATATTATATGTTAAAGTATAATTTTTAATATTTAAGCATATATTTCATCTTGGTTTACAAATTCATATCAGTGGTAGCAGAAGAATGTTTGGCATATATGTATGTATTCCAAATAATATAAATCAATTTAATGAGATAGGAACAGGGCACATCGCAGTCGGTGTCTGCGCTTAGTGGTTCAGAAATCTTCAAACCAAATCAGCTTTGGTTGTTGTTCTGCGAGCGGATGGTGCCTGCATACCCTACCGACGATTGAATTTTAAGGGTGGGTACAGAAACAAGAACGTTTTTAGGACACTTGTTCTGAATGTTATGTTTAATGATAATTAATTTTATAATTTTTTTTTTATATTAAAAATCATTAAAAGTTTACTTCTTGATTTAAAATAGTAATATAAATTTAAGAAAATAACTTCAAATTTTTTTTTCCAAGATTAAAACTATAAAATTATTATATGTACATATGTTTACATATTTATCGGTAACTAATTCAAGCGGCGACTTTCAAGAATAAGCAAACATAAAAATATATATAACTAGATCATTAAATAACAACATTAAACAAAATTACACTGCGAATCAAAAAAAAAATCAACCAAAACTCATTAAACATATCATTCAAAA